GGACAGAGAAGTATAGATCCCAACCCCGTGTAACAGTATGAATATATAAGTAGATAACTAGTAAAAATAGACTTCGAATAATATCTTATGTTTCTTTATACTATATAGATCTAAAGTAGGCTATTTTAGGCTATAATATAGTAGTTTTAGTAGGGTCTTAGTAAAAGTGATTAACGAACCCGTGTGATTAATGAACCCGTGAGGTACGTTATACTTTCTTACTAGTTACTTAACTTTATAAAATTAATACTTATTAATCTATTTAATATAGATTAGGAATTATTAAATCTATTATTATTTATCTTATAAGTACGTCTACTCTACTATCTTGCTAGATAAACCTTACAGAACACTAACGTAAAGCTTACTGGCCTTAGTGCGGACCCGGCAAGAGAAGTATAGACCCGAACCCCGTGTAACACTCCGTTTTTCAGACGGAGCTCTTAATCCAGTTAGCAGACGGCAAACGGAGACGGAGCCGAACAGGCTCTTAAGCTATGTTAAGCTAAGAGGAATCGTTTCGTTATCATATCCCGTCAATATTTCCCCATCGAGTGCTGACAGGTAATATTACGAGTCGTCATTATGTATAAAGGGCTTGGCTCTGCGAATTGACCGGACTAGTAGTCTTGGTGCCGTTGTGCTTATCAGTACGTAGGATCTGAGTACTACCACCATGATCCGTTTTCTCTGGTCGCTCGAATATCTCAAGGAAAAAACGCCAAGCATAGATATGCAGAGCCTGCAAACTGGTTCCCCGGAGCGGTTTAGTCATTGATGTTACTCCATAGCTGCAGCCTCGTTTTCCATGCGTCGGGTTATGCTCTGCTGTGCTGTAGTAGTGACAAGTGTGGAACCGGTAAAATGCCGGCATCGGTCCCGCGCCGAAGAAATGCCTGAACCGCTCGACCATGGAGCTCGATGCGATCGCTGATCGGCATACCAAATAGAGCCCATGGAATTGTGTGTATAATGGAGCTCTACAGAGACAGTAGACCATTGTCTACCAGGCATATCGATCAAACTCATCTGCCACCATGTTGCGAAAGATTGCTTGCCATAACCACCCCCGCTTATCCACGCTTTGCCATAACAGGAATTTAATGACAACAGGGCGCACCAAGTATTGTATAACAAAGATTTTGTGTGTAGGCAAGCCCTCAAGACGAGTCTTTTGCATACCACAGTTTTTTTTTTTCACAGCCAAAGTCCCTTTCAATCATCATCACAAAGCATGTGCCCACCTTCAGACCTTGCCAATGCCGCCGTTCGAGACGCTGGCGGTGCATCCGACCACTATCCCTTTGAGGCTTCCCTGGATACACCGATATCGAAAGCTGCATATACACATGCTGCAAGCATTCTGCATCCATCCATCCTCAATCACAGCATCAGGGTGTTCAAGTATGCAGACGAAATAGCCAAACACACTAGCTCAAAGTACTTCACGGATCCGCACCAGCGTGACCTACTGTTCACCGCATGTCTCCTCCATGACATTGGCACGACGCAAGAATACAATGGCCCACAGCGATTCGAAGTCGAAGGTGCGGATGCAGCAGTCAAGCACCTCTCGGATTTCAGTGTTAGCAAAGAGGATGCGCACTGTGTATGGACCGCCATTGCATGTCACACATCTCCGGGCATTGCAGAACGGATCGGCGAGCTCTCGAGAATCGTGCGCATAGCTGTAGTCACGGACTTTCGAAGGGATGTTACAGAATGGAGCACGCTCGAATCAATGAGAGAGAAGCTGGAAGCTCAGCACGAGCGAGTAGGGATCGAGAAGGTGCTTGGAGATGCAGTCGTTGAGCAGGCAAAGATGAACCCTAGAAAGGCGCCCAAGGTTTCATGGCCTCACGCAATGTATGCGGCGTGGCTTGCTGAGCCAGGTTGGGACGGTGTGAACAAAGCGTTTTGAAGAGACTTGGTAGGTCGGCTGGGATAGTGTCGCGTGTATGGATGGGTATGTCGTATGTTCATAGCATTCATTGGCCGTGCAGCCATGTTCGTGGTATTCTTTTGGTGTCTCCAAAAATTCAACCTCCGTCACCTCTCTCCAAAAACCCTGGATCTCTCTCAATTTTTCCTTCAAACTTGGTCCACCACGCCTGGAAAGCCTTGAGTGGTACTGTATCCCCCGTACCCCAGCTAGTCAAAAAGTCGTAGCAGTTCTTGATGATTCTCTGTGCGAGCACTTTTGTCTCGACGCTCCTCTGTCCCCTGAGCACCAACTCATTGCCCTGGATTGCTCCTGTTGGTTGCGACCCAGCAGCAGCCTGCGCTTTGTTTTGCTCTATGGCAGCGGCGACTTGTTGCGCAGGCTCAACGCTTATTCCAAGCGCCAGCGGCACAGTGCTTCCGTTTGTTGCATCCATGGATACTCCCTCGTCGACCATGGAGTCGTCGCTGCCTAGACTCCCCGCTTTGGTGTTCACTTTAAAGATTGCACTGGGCTTTTCGTTGGCGATTGCGCCGAGCAGTTTAAATTCTGTTGTGCCAGGCAGTTGAGCATATACGGCAGCAGCAGTGCCATCTGGAAGTGTGACTCCAGGTAGGAGGAATACGACAATGTGGGAGAAGGAAGGCTGCGAGGGAATCTGAAATGCCGATTGCGTAGGCGAAATGATGGACGAAGGCTCGATAATGACAGGGCGGCCGGATATTATTATGCCTACGGGAGAGGACATTGTGAATGCTGTATAAGATGCGATAAACCACCAGGGCTCCCTTGGGTGGCCGTCAGGCTACAAGCTGAGCGTGTGGCTTTGACATGTTTTGTGTTCTGCGTCATGGCAGGCCCAAGCTTCGCCCCACATGGCCTCACATGGCCTGACATGTGCAACGTCCATTGCTAACTTATACCCACAAAAGTCTTGCTATGTTGGAATCTGTAAGTGCGATTATGGCAATGCCTCTGCAAGACCCGATATAATAGAGTTGTCTCACATTCTAAAGCCGTGTGCAGCGCTGATCCATTCCTGGTCCAGCCTATCACTAACCCTCTTCAACACCCGACTTCCACCCATCAGAGCCTGGAACAAATGGATTCGCTCATCTTTACTCATGATAAGAAAGCGAGAGAGTCCAGTTGCAGATATATGCTTCGGCTCGGCTGCAAAGGGTGAGCTGGAGCAGACTGCAATTTCGAGCGTCGTCGGCTTCTTCAGCAATGCCACAATGGCCTGGGCCGCAAACGGATTTAGACCTGCTCGACGCAGAAAGACCTCGTACTAGTAATAACCAATAAGATAAAATGCTTCTTAGTATGGCTGTATTACTTACTGTTGTTTCCTGTGGTATAGGCTTAATGTCACCAATATCGGCTGAGCCGTACGGTAAGCCGTATTTTCCCATCTCTGTCACCGTGGCACGCGCAAGGGCCTTCTCGCCCCCAGGAACGTACTGTACTAGCACATCCCCCTCCATATCAGAAGTAAATTCCTCAAACGCTTTCAATGCTACACTATCGCGTGGGTCCTCTGGACGGCTAGACCCCAGCTCTTCCAATTCACGACCTAGTCCTTCGCTGATCAGAACAATCAGCCTCTCGTATCGTGACTGAAGAGTAGCCAAACACTCCTTTATCGGAGACCTTTCTGTTTGGCCCGGAAGAGCTCGCTGCTTGATTTGTTGCAAAGAAGTAAGAATCAGACCGGTGGAAGGCGAAAGAATCATGTCAGCATCTTTGGCCGGCGAGTGCGGTAGAGTGTAGTCTCGGTACACCATCTCAGCGTTTGGAAACATATGTTCTATCTGCCTCAACAGGCTTCTTTGTTGTAGAAACTTTGACGAAATGAGGAATGAAGACGGCTTGAGGTTTGCTGGGACATTTATAGGCGAGGGTAGAGGGTTCGTCGTCTTCGTCCTCTCATCATCCCTAAAACTCGCCTTGTGCATCTCGTTTCCTCCATCCTCGACAGGCCTCGTGGAGGTCTGAACTTTTGGGATATCCACTGAATGGGTACTTTTGCTTAAGAAAGGCTTTTGAACGATGTCAGCTCTTACAGACCCAGCAACCTTTCCACGTGTCTCCAAGAACCTGTGAAGAGCACTCGTAGCAGAGAAACCACCAAACATGAGTTCATTGCCATTGTCGTCTTTCGTCCCCTGTGTGGGCTTCAGCCGTGAAATCTGTTCTTGTGACAACTGCTGGCTCGTATCTGTAGTCTTAGCCTCCAAGCCTGCTGGTAGATGGCGCGGTGGCACTGCTTTTTTGTGACGTGTGTCTATCATATCTTCTTTTAGCTCCAGTTTGCGCTTGTTTGACAAGGCTTGTATGTCATGGCTATCCTCATCAAGCACGGATTCTAGTTCGTTCTCGTCGTCTTCATCAAGGATTCTGAGTCCATCCCGCTTCCACACCTGCGTAGAGCTGGTTGCAATGCTACCTGTCCCAGCTTCACTTATAATTTTCTTCATCTCAGTTTCGCCATGTAATGTCTCATCTAGCTTCAGTGTTGATATCTTTGTCGTCAAGAAACCCCATTGCAACTGTCTTTCCGGAAGTGACGTCCCATGCCAGGATGGCGCGATTTTCAGTTCCTCACGTTTAATCCTCCGTAGGAATTGCGTCTGAGATTCAAGCTCAGTGGGGTGCCGGCAATTGTCGCGGTTTCGCCGACTGTACTCAACCCAGGGCGCCACAGGTAGTAGAGAGTCGATATACGGAACGTCCACACGTGCAGTCGTATCAGCGCCGGACAGCTGTTCATTTCCAACAGACTTGCTCACTTTTTCAGCAAGTGGCTCAATCTCCGCGAAGATTTCAAAGTCCTCACTCGCAATATCATCATTACCATCGGCATTAGCTTGACCCCAGGGCTCGTATGAGACAAGCTCACTTAATGTTGTGGCAAAAGAAACTGATTTGAGCTTCTTCATTGGTGAGGTAGAAAATATTGATGGTGTCAATGGTCCTTCCACTTTCAAGTCTGCAGCTTTACGCTTCGAAGGAACTCGTGCACATGCCTCGGACAGCGGGCTAAATGATAGTGAATGAATCATGTCGAGAAGCATCGAATCACTGCTGTCCGACTCTTTCCGAGTAAGGGAATCTGCAGCCATGATCTCACTTTGGAGGATTTCTGTCTCTGCACGGACAGAGTCACTGCTATCCGATACAAGCGGCAGATTGTTTGTGGGTGATGAAGGTATGTAGGGCTTCTGCATTGGAGAAAGCGGGAGTAAAGGAGGCGTAACGGGCCGAATAATTAGATCCTAAACTGTTCAGCATAGGTATGCAAAGATTGTGCATCATCCAATTACCCGATTGTAGACCTTATCTTCAGCCTTCAGCGCCTCGCTATCCTCTGGCACGTATGCATCGCGGATGGCTTCTTGGAGATACAAGAGTGTGCTTCTTGAGACAGCAAGCTTCTCAGTTTTGGCTTGCGCATCGCATTGCGCAGGATATGTGAGGTGTGTGGCGGGCCATTCAAAGCCTTCATCATTCTGCTCATTAACAAGTTCAGATGGGATCTTGAGATTCCTGAAGTCTGGTGGCGCCACACTACCGAAATTCAACAAGTCAATATCGTGGTCTGACTGGAGAACTGGAAGTTCATGCTTTAGATGCAAGGTGCATTTTCTGTTATCAGTCTGAAAACGGCTAACCGGAGGCTCTTCTCGGTAGGTATAGATTGTCTTGAGCAGTAGTACAGTGTCTCTGTTCACTGTAAGTCGTTCCTTTGTTAGTGTGGAGACCACATCAGTAGTGGAGGAGTCAGAGAAACTGCAAAGACTTTCATCTAGAGCTGTAGCCGACGATACATCCAAATCCGGAAAGGGTCGTGGCTCAGTTGTACAATCGATACAGAGGTCTTGCGCTCGTGCATATTCGAGAGGACGGAGTTCATCTTGTGGGCTTGGTTGATCCATGGTAGCCATACACGTGTAGTCGCATATTTAAACTCAAGCAAGTAACGATCAAGTTTTTTTTGGCTGGGAATTGGTGGATAGTTAAGTTGGTGTCAGGTTTTGGATCGAGGATTGTTCCTTCCTCGTCTGTCTCACCGACATCCCCACGTGGTGACTGTACCAGAGAAGTCAACACTAACAGAAGCTACAACATCACAAACAAGAAAGCATGGGTTCAAAGTGGTTTGACGTTTAATTTTTCATTGTACTCGGCCGTTGCTGTACTGCAGGCCGTTTCATATGTTCTCAAATGATTGTGCAAAAGACACTTAATTATTTACAGCTCATCATCTTAGCTCCCCGCACGATAGGCATAACAAGCCCTTATCACTTATTTAACACTTATGGAGTAGCCGGCTTCTGACCAAAACCGAGCGACTGGTTGCCACCGTTGAAGGCAACAAACTGCGCCCTGAACATAGTGTCGCCATAGATTTGCAGACCCGAACCCTGGTTGCCCTGTACACCACCGAAGCAGGTGGTGTTTGCCTTGTCGACAGGCGCAAAAATGAGCTGGTTGCCAGGAATCTTGGCCATGTACGAGTCACCAATGGCGACGCTCATGTCGGGCAGGGTAGTTGCGCATGGGAAGATGAAGCCACCAACTTGAGCATTGAGCTGGGCGCCCTTGACCTGCGAGTAGTATGCATCGGCAACCTGTTGGTCCACAAGAAGAAGAGATGTACCAGTGTCGGCAATAGCATCAGATCCCTGTGGGTTGTCGAACAACTGGTCACCGATGGCAAACTTGGTGGAGCCGAATTGCCAGAAGCCAGTCTCAGCCTTGACCGGAATCCAGGCCATCTCGCCCTCAAACTTGGTGGCATCAATTTTGCCAAACTCGTAAACACCAGTGCCATCAGGATCGAGATCGGCAGTAAAGACAGGCAGATCCAAATCGTTCATGACATTGGCGAAGAAGGTTTTCTGAGGAGTCTTCTTGGTACCGTCGTTGACTGGTTCGTTGTCAGTAAAAGGTGCTGCACCCGAGAGTTGGTCAACTTACTCGTGTTGAGTTGGGAGAAGGCAAGGCCGACAAGGCCGTCAGTGTTGGCATCTTGAACAAACGATTGGGAGACCTGGTTGGCGAGCTCAACGGCCTGGTTCTTGACCGTGACACCTCCAATGGTAACGGTGTCTGTGCCCACGATACCAGCGGCGCCAGAACCGTCGCCGTAGCTAATTTTCCATTGAGCACCGTCCACCTTCTTGAACGTAGCCGACTTGGCAGGATCAAAAGCAGTGTGTTGACCAATGAGCTGAGGGTCAAGCTCGGTGCTGAAACACCAACTGTGCGTTACAGATTAGTACATGGTTGGTTGTAAGTAGCAATGAGTACAAGCTTACAGATCAGAGGAGCCAGAATCAAAGTCCAAGTTGAGGGTCTGTCCGCCAATGTCGACGGGGGACAAGAACAGGGCGGCATTGTCGGCAGGGTTAGCGGCAACTGTTCCACTCGAGTTACCACTGGAGCCACCGGCAGCAGCAGCAGTAGCAGTGTCGTTGCCCTTTGTTTGCTTGGAGAAGGAGATGAAGCCATCCTTGACCATAAAGTCCTCCTTGATCTTGAAGTTGTATTTCCTAAATACCTTCCTCATGGCAGCAGGACCATTGGGGCCAGTGGGATGGGCCTTGTTCAATTGCCTGGGAACCTTGAAGGAACGTTTCTGGAGACCCCTCTTGCGGGAGGGAGCCGGGACGGCTAGCACAACGGCTGCCAAAAGAGCAACAAAAAGAAGAAAGCGTAGGGAAGGCATGTTGAGCAAACGCTGACCGGCAGCCTGACAGAATGAATCTGTCGTTTGGAGAAAATAAAAAGAGGAGGAGGAGAAGAAGAAGAAGAAGAAGAAGTGGTCAAGGAGAAGAAGGAAACGGACGAAACAAAACACACCACTTCCTAAGAAAACAAATATGGAACCCAAGCCTAGCCTTGGAGGATGGTTATCAATGAGTGTGCGAGAAGGGTGGCTTTTAAAAAGAAGGAATACCGGCGCAAGTCCTACATTCAGAGAGGATGAAACTCGAAGAGAGATGAAACCCGAATCCACAATCGGATCATATAGCGCTGCATATTGAAAATGTTTGGGAGCGCTAAGCCCGTATGCCAGACACGGAGGGAAATGGATGCGGCAGCAGACTAAACGCTACGCGTACTACGTTGAAGGAGATCCATGGGGAAATGTCAGTTAGCTCCTGTCAGCCTGTCAAGGCCCATTGGCTCTATGCAAGCGTGGGTAGGCAGCGTTCAGTTCAATGCAGCCATGTGGGTCGGACCTGCGCAAGCTCAGTGGCGAGGGAGCATCTAGAGCCTCAGCATGGCTGTATCGATAAGGGGCAGATGGATTCGTTACGCGTCCATCTATGATGGTGGTTGTGATAGTGGAGCGAGAGAGCGGCCGTCGGCGTGGGTCGCCGCTCAGGTGTGTTTCAGTGGCGTAGCATTCGCAAACGCCATATACTACAGCACGCAGCCATGGCAGTGACGCTACGATGCGTTCATGTTTCCTCGGGCATTCTCCATACCCACTTGGCAGTTGTCCGCCTGCTTGCCTGCTTGCTTGCTGACGACGACAACAGGGCTGCTTGGATGACTTTACAAATGTTGAAGTTGTCCATGTCTCTCAACGGCGTCGCATGAAGTTGGCGCCGGGGACGGGATTTTTGGTAGTGTTTCAGAGTGCCAAGGCCAGACAAGCTAACCCGGCGATTCGGCTCCGATGAAACCCAGGGGCCTCACGTCCGCAACTCGAGCAGACAGTGGCGCGTACAGCACCGTGTCGACAGAGAAGCGTCCGCGGCGAGGCTTAACTATGATGCCGAGGATTTTCCCTCCAAACACTCTCCGTCTTGGACAGCATGCTTGACCATGGCAATGTATATGAACACTTCGGCCTTTCGGACATGAGCCTGACCTCCAAGGCGCGTTTCCTCGCTTGCCGTGTACCCTTGGTTTGCTTTTGCAAACTGCAAATCGCTTCCTCGTGGGACCCAAATCCGCACCATGCCAATGGTCGCAGCCAAGAGTGCCTACCAAACATCGTCCTTTGCCCATGTTCGAGGCGTGTGCCAGCTCCACAAGAAATACTTTTTAGCCAAGCGCAGATGGGCTAAAATGTATTTGGTACCCAAGGAAAGAAAAACACGTGTATGCATGGTACATCAGTCCTGAACTAGGCACAAGGTTGCATGTGCAGGGTCTCGGCTACTTACCTACTTACTTACTTACAGCACCATGACGGGCGGCATTTGTTTGCATGAAATCAATGCATATATTCGTATATTAAATAACAATACTTTTTTTGTTCCTCTTCTATCATGACTCGACATTGCCGCTCCCCACCTTCGTTCCCAGTGTCGATGTTTGTTGCCCATACAAACAATCGCAGCCACCAGGATATGCCAATCCCTACCAGGCCATTTGCTGCAGGATCTGTAACCTCCCGCTGTGCTTGGCCCATCCGCCATGGCTCCCTCCAAGCCTTCGCGCGTGTTGTGCCCCGGCGCGGCAACATCCCACTTCGCACGGCGCCTCCCATTACCGTCCATCCCATTGTGTAATCGGTAACGTTTCAACCGCCATAGTGTGTTCCAAACATTGCAAATCAACCCCCCTTTCATCCAAGAAGCTCTACATCTAGCCCAATTGCCCTCATAAACAAGTTTACGTTTGCCGTTCGAGCGCTCGCCATGTCTGGTGGTAGAGCCTTGCTCACAGAAACTGTCTCCATGACGCGGTCCTTCACTCCGAGTACCAGCCTCTGCTGTTGCTCCGGGCTGGCTCCCACACCCATTGCTGCCAGGAACTGCCAGATGTACATGTCGTCCGTGTCGTTGATGCTCCCTGGGAACAGGTAAGGCAAAACAGGCTCAATAACGTCAAACAAGCGGTTGTAAAGCCCGGTCCATTGCTGCCAATCAGTCACCATCTCAGGCGCCGACTGCTTAAGGAGTTCAGCCCGGGAAATCAGGAACGTCAGCAGAGTAAGGCCTATCCTGCTCCGCGCCACTACGTGGAGGTTGGTGCGGTCTAGAACAAGGCCAAGAAGTCCAATGACAATGTTCAGCGGTGCATCTGAGATGTGCGCGTGGATGGGCGACATGACCGTCTGGGAAAAGAGATCGACTTCCTCACGGATTGCCGCACTCAGGGGCTCTTCGGGCGTAGCAATGGCCTGCCCCACTACCGAAAGGGCATCGAGGTGCACGACAATCATAGTCACGACCGTAATGCGCTCCTGCTCGTTAATGTGGCGGAAGAGGCGCGGGATAACTTTCTTGCCCTTGGCATGTGAAAGAATGGAAATGAAGGGATGAGGTGTGCTGGGCAGGTTAGCAGGAGCAGCTTCATTGGGGGGGCACGACATACTTGGGGTTGATGGGCTCCATAATCCTTGTGTTAAGCCAGAGCTGCTCGTGGAGAACCTCAATCCGCGATCGCCATTCCATGTGTGCTTGGATGGCTTCAGGAGGACTGTTTTCTTGAATTGGCATTGGCATGGCGCGCTCATGATCTTCCATTTGCATCAACGTCTTGTACACCGCCTCGATGTTACGAAGTGTTTGTTTACGATCTGCGACGGAGGACCGAGGGTGTCTTGGGAGCTTGTCGTTGGTTTCCGGTCGCTTAAGGTTGAGCAGCGGTCGTGGCGTCTTGGAATTGCTGAATGCAATTTTTCCAAGACTGCCCTCGACGACGAGTTGTTTGGCTTTTGGCCGTGCTTTGGCAGCCTCAACTGCGCGTTGGATCTGTTGCTCCATGCGCTGCATGTGGTTGTCGCCTCCGCGGCCATGTCGACGGGCGCCAAACCGGTTGTTCGTCTGGAAGAGATAGGTTTGGGCAAACTGGCTTGCTGGCTGCTGGGGGTTGTGGCGTGGAGCACCCCGGATCTGGCTGAAGACCTGATAGTAAAAGTCCTCTGCAATGGCAGCTTCAGGGCCCCGTTCTTCTAGGTTTCCAGTCGCGGTCATCAGCTGCTGCAGCTGGATACGAGTGATGAAGTTCTTGTCCTGAGGTGTCATGAGACCATTGTCCTTTGCCAAAAGGGCAATCTTGTGGTTTCGCTTCGCGCGCTTTGCGTCTTCTTCAAGGAAAGCAGCACGCTCGGCCTCGGACAGCTGAAGGAGCTGCTCCGGGTGGGTAATGACCATCCCAGGAAATGAAGGGCCTCTGTTGTGGGCTCCTGGCTGACCGCGATGCGGGCCAGGCTGCATAGGCTGGCCCTGGCCGGCGAGGCGGTTGGGGTTCTGCAAGATCTGGCGGGGCTGTGCAGGTGAACCTTGGATCTGGTTCTGCGGGGCACTGGGATCGTTGGAGTGGGGTCGCTGTCGCTGGAGAATGGTGGGCTGCTGGGGTGATTGGGATTGGACGGGCTGGTCTGGCAGTTCGGCACGGAGCTGCTGTTGATGTCTCGGCGGCATGCCCTGCTGCTGTTGCTGGGGTCTCTGCAGGATCTGTGGCGCAATGTGGCCAGGCATACCGGGATACTGTGGCTGGCCCTGGGGGAATTGACCCTGCTGCTGGTACTGCTGCTGAGGGTAGCCGGGGAAGGCCTGGGGCGGTGGCTGCTGAGCCGGCGGGGTGGCTCTGGCGTCACTATTGAGAGATTGAGCGCGCATCATAGCCTCGACCTCCTCCATGCTCATGACCTTCCTGGTGGGTGCGGGCATCTGGGCAGCGGCAGCGGGCTGTGGCGAGGGCTGGCGCTGGGCGGCGGGCTGCTTGGGTTTGAGGCCCCAGATGTCGGCACGCGCCTCGAGCTGGGGAATGTACTCGGGGTCCTTGTAGCTCTCATAGCCGGAGCGATTGGGCTTGGAGGCCTGGGGGACAGGGGGTCTCTGTTGGTACTGGTGCTGCTGTTGGTGCTGCTGCTGATGCTGCTGCTGTTGAAATTGCTGCTGGTGCTGCTGGTGCTGGGGGATCTTTTGGCGAGCGTGGAACAGCATCTGCTCCTCCTGAATGGTACCGGCAACCATTGACGTCTGGCCGGCAAAGTCAAAGTGCTTGCCAACCGACTGCTGCGTGGCCGGGCCGTCGCCAAAGGTGTCGTCATTGCGGTCGTCGGCATCGTCGTCTAGCTGGTCGCCGAGGCCGTCGTAGGTGTCGTCGAAGTCGATTCTGTGAGTAGTGAGAAGCAGGCCTGGTGGGCGTCGAGGGCGACATGGACATACACATCGTCATCGGCCGCCCCGCCGCCGAGGGCAGCAAAGGCATCGTGCTGGCCAAAGCCGGGGGCGGCAGTCGAATGGCCCTGGTCACGCGGCAGCGTCGTGTCGAAGCCGAAGAAGGACATGGCGGCGGGCCTCTCTCTCACCACACGCGGGATGTGTGTGGTGGTGGTGATGGCGGGGGTGGTTGTTGTTGTTGTGGGCGGGCCGTGTGCGGTGGTGGTAGTGGTGGTGGATAATCGACGGCAAAGTCCGCGCGCGCTCTCGTATGGCCTGGCTGGCCCTCGTACCCCCGGCAAGCCTAGCCTACTATACCTGGTCCTCAGCCACACTTTCTTACCTGTCCTACCGCCTACCATTCTTACCACTGCAACAACTCCTTTTCTGACGGCTCAACTCCTGTTTCTACTTTGCTTCCATCTGTCTTCTCCTTCTTTTCCCCCTTCCCCACCTTGTCCTCCGTTTCAGCCCGCCCACCCCTCCGTGGCCTTCTTCTTCTTCTTCTTCTTCTTCCACCTTGTCCTGCCCATGCGCACGCCTTGCGCCAAGTAGTAGTCGCTCGTTCCCCCTGCACCACGTCGCCGCCGCCGCCAAAGACGCCACGCGCACCCTTTTACCCACTCTTGCTCGCAGCATAAAAGCAGCCTGGCAGAGTGGAGAGTCTCCGACGTCACTAGGAAAGCTCCAGCCTGTCGATCACGACTCGCAATCACAACCACAAACACCAACATCGTCCGCCATCCGCCATGGCCGGCAGTCAGCGCTATATCCGCTACATTGTCTTCGCTGTCATCGTATGACCCTCCCCTGTCACCTCACTCACGCCCATGCAGCCATTGACTCCCTCCAGGCCCTGTTCCTTCTCTACTTCATCGGCTCCTCATCGTCCGTGCCTGCCACAAACTGGCCAGCCTACCAAGATGCAAAAACCCCTGCCACACCGCCCCAGGGCAATGCCGCCGTGGTAGACGACGACGAAACCCCTCGCGCTTCCACCCCCAGCACCGGCGCTCACACCAACCCCGGCACTTCGCTCAATGACAAAACACTTCCACCTGCCACCATTGCCGGTGACCGCATGAACGCAACATTTGTCACACTCGCCCGCAACCAGGACGTCTGGGAGATTGCAAAGTCGATCCGCCACGTCGAGGACCGCTTCAACCGCAAGTTCAACTACGACTGGGTCTTCCTCAACGATGACGACTTCAGCGACGAGTTCAAGAAGGTGACGACGGCCCTCGTCTCCGGCAAGACAAAGTATGGCAAGATCCCCAAGGAGCACTGGTCCTTCCCCGAGTGGATTGACCAGGACAAGGCCGCAAAGGTCCGCCAGGAGATGAAGGAGAAGAAGATCATTTACGGAGACTCGATCAGCTACAGGCACATGTGCCGCTACGAGTCGGGCTTCTTCTTCCGCCACCCATTGATGCTCGACTATGAATGGTACTGGCGCGTCGAGCCCAGCATCGAGCTGTACTGCGACATCAACTACGACACCTTCAAGTACATGGCTGAGCACAAGAAGAAGTACAGCTTCACCCTCAGTCTGTACGAGTACGTCGAGACCATCCCCACGCTCTGGGACGCCACCAAGAACTTCACAAAGCACTTCCCCCAGCACATCAGCAAGGACAACTCGATGAAGTTTCTCAGTGACGACGGTGGCGAGACCTACAACCACTGCCATTTCTGGTCCAACTTCGAGATTGGAAACCTTAACTGGCTCCGATCTGACGCATACATTGACTTCTTCACCTCTCTCGACCATGCTGGTGGTTTCTTCTACGAGCGCTGGGGTGATGCACCTGTCCACTCCATCGCCGCCGGTCTGCTCCTGCAAAAGGATGAGCTCCACTTCTTCAACGACATTGCCTATTACCACGTTCCCTTTACGCACTGCCCTACAGGCGAAAAATACCGCCTTGACCACAAGTGCTCATGCAACCCCAAGGATAACTTTGACTGGAAGGGTTACAGCTGTAAGTTTTCCCATCTGGCTTTTGCAAATACCAATACTTACATGCCAACAGGTACTTCTCGCTTCTACGAGTTGAACGGCCTGGAGAAGCCAGCAGGGTACGAAAAAGAGCAGGACTAGATGCTCAATTTCACTTTTCGTCTATAACACCAGTGCGAATCGCCGTCGGCTTTGTTTTTCTCTGCTTTTAGCGGACCCGACGTCTGACGTAGTCTAAAGTGCACCACTCTCCCCATCAGACAAAAGACGCCTTGCAGTGAAGATTGTCTTGTTTGTGCTCGCCATCATCAGTCTAGGGATTTTCATGGTTAGAAGACGTTGCACTGAAACATCCCAGTCGCCGCAAAATTCGTTAGCCAAGTGGCCTTTATAGGGAAATCAGGGAGGATCAGAAAAAAAATTACTCTAAATGGCGTAAATGTTGGCTTGGCGTTGAAATCTATGCTTTGGTCATTTACCTCTGGCTTTGGCTGGTTGGCTGTCTGAGATGGGTCATGCCGTGGCTGTTATCCATTTACTTGTAATGTTATATATTATTGTAAACATTAGATTCACTGCTTAGACTAATGATGATGATGCGTCTGATATGTGCAATTGATGCCATTTCTTTATTCTTTGTTCTTCTTCTTTTCTAGTATTAATCATTATAGTTGACTATGCCGCTGCCATCCTTGTTCGCCTTGGGTACCCCATAACGTTCACTCAGCTCATCTTCCTGTGACCGACTTTGCGAATCAAGATATGGTCGTTCGGCACGCACCGCAACGCGCACGGCGTGTCTGCGGTGTGGCGCAAATCCATATGACGCTGAATGGTTCTACACTGTGTTAGTCATTGCTCTCGCAATTGCTTGTATCAAGGATTCCCAAGACTTACCGTGACCCTGTTATCCCAAAACGCAACATCACCTTCCTTCCACTGAAACCTCGCCTGAATCTCTGGACTCGTCGCGACAATCTCATTCAACAGTCCAATGATATGATCAGACTCGGTCTTGGGCACACCCACAATCTTGGTCACGAACCCCGGGTTGAAAAACAGACTCTTCCACCCCGTCACCGGGTTGGTTCGAATAAGCGGGTGCTCCGTTGTCACGGGCTCGCGACGTACCGTGCGACCCAGGTCGCGCGATCCTTGAGCTTGCAGTTCGGCAGAGTGTAGCGCCGTCAGTGACTCGAGGTACTTTTGCATGTGTGGTGAGAGCATGTCGTAGGCTGCGTATTGGGAGCTCCAGAGTGTGTCACCGCCGCCACCCCGTGGGGGGCCTGTGAGGACTTTGAGCGATGTGTAGGATGGTGGTTGGAGTTCGTATGTGACCTGTTGTCATGATTTGGTCAGCACGATGCCAGTTTTGAGTCTGATGGGTTTTTTTTAGTTCTTACATCTGAGTGCCAGAGAAATGTAGGTGTGAACAGCGCTCGTAGGTCAGGACTTCCTTCTCCTGTGAAGATGACGTGTACATCCTCGAGGCCCTCACGCTTGGGAACACCCGTTGTGGCGTGCTTGTGAAGCTCGCCAAAGTACTTTCCCAGCTCTCTTTGCTTGTCAATGCTGAGGTTCTTTTGGTCGCGGAAGAAGACGACGCCTCGTGTCGCAATCAAACGCGCCAGATCGTTCTTTTGTGCATCGGTAAGGTTGGCGAGGTCCACGCCGTGTACTTCCGTTCCGATCTTAGGGTTGTAGTCAAAGACGTCTGTGGCAGAGGCAAGGAGGTTCTTGAAGTTTGGGTCTCCTAGTTGGCCCTTTTCTATGTAGGGAATCTCGGTGTATGCCGGCCATGTGATGTCTGGGAAGTGTGGTCGTAAGTCCTCGTACTCGTATGTGTCATCATGTTGTTTGACTTTTGTTCGTCCCGGGACGTAGCTGTGTGCATTTGTGGGCTTTGACGCCACTACGGGAGTGTCCGTGGTGTTGGGTTGATATAGTGGTTCAACAAGTCCAGGTGCCATGGTAGCGGCAAGTGTATGATGCACGCCTTTTGAGATGGGAGTGATTGCAACGCTTTGAAAGGCTTTCTTCTATATGTGTCGTTCAAAGAGAATGGGGTAGAATTGAGAGAACCTGTAATGGCACTCAAATCAAGAAACTAAATTGCTAGAAAGGATGAGAGTATGACTCGAGAAGTGGAATGGTATCTGGGGAAAGACAGAGCCAGTGAATCCACTACTTATATCCTGCTGGGTAAAGTGATATCTAAAGTGCGTATTGTTGTGGGGAAACAATATGCCGGCCTTGATAGAGCAATTGCGCCATCGCACCTAATCCGATGATCAATCATAGTCCACAATACTGACGACACTTTGCAATCTTACGTGTCAGAGGCGTACGAGAACTGTCATTGAACTATGGAGTGCTGAGCGATTAACGGGAGCAGAGACGGGGTACTACACAATCCTATATTCTATCGGCCAAGTTGTATCTTGGTAGAATTGCGGCTCAGCGCACATCATTGCGTACAAAGCAGACTAACTGGGAGAGTGAGTTGCTGAAGTCGGTGTAAATTCAGACGCTAGCCTGATATGGAAGCTGAGGGCATGGCACCATATTGCACCATTTCATGCTCTGACTTCAACATCGCCCGACAATGGATTTTTTGTCCCAAAGCAACAGGGAATTTAGACCGTCAATGTTCCCGTCCCTTACCGGTTTCGTTCAAGCTGCAAGATTGGCGAGTACAGCCGCGTGGGGAAAGTATGCGGAGATGGACGTGGGGGCAGGACGTGCTACGTTCCTAGGACTGTGTTGCTTGGTAGAGCTTAGTGCCTTCGGATTGCCTGTGATTGTCACTTGTGATCCATACCAACGGTCTCTTAGCGATATACAGCTAGGACCTGCAACGCTTAACAATTGTCGCTTGTAGCTACTAATGCGACTAAATACCCCTTTTGCAGTCCTCCTCTTACTTTGCAGAAAGAAAAATAACCATGCTTGCTCGAACGCTTCGACACCTGACGCCTGTTCCAGTCGCACAACGTGCAATATAACCAAATTATCAAAAATGCCTTCTCTTATCACTTCTCATTTGTATCCTCTGCTAATGTGTGCCGAGTCGACGGGGGGTTCCCAAAAAGGCACAGAGTCTTTTTTATACTGATCGCCCTGTGATGAAGGGTATCGGGACACCATTAAGATTTAGCCACTGTATCGAGGCTTTGCGCCCCTCACGTTGGGACTCGACGCCAGGGGCACTTTGGCCGCCTGTGGATTCTGAAGCATTCTGGACACGCCGTCTGACGATGCCCTTTTCTTCAAGAATGGGACTCCAGTACGGGTGTGTGCCTTTATGTATGCGGTAGAGTTCGTAGTTGCCGAAGATAAGAACGAGTGTAGATGTGACGGGTATGCGTGAGATGTTGTGGAAGATGCGTGTGGAGCTCATGTTTCACAATTTAAATCAGGCCGCGAATGTAGAACGGAGTAGTGAATGATGTACTGGACGTGCTCAGCACCTTTCTGAGGTTGAGTATCGTGAGTAAGTATGCGCAGGAGGCGAGATGGGGTGATGCGGAGTCTGGCGAGAGATGAGTGGCTGAAGCGCGGGGACACGCCTTAGCGCGATTTCGTCGCCGAGCCGCATCAACTTTCTCGACTATGCGACAGCTCCGTCCAATCCACGCACTCCAATCTTTCATAGGCAACCACTGCCAGGTTACAACACATCATGCGTACTGGAACCTAAGCAAAGGGGCTTGAGTTTAGAAACCACATAAATCCGACCATCAACAAGCGCGACTTCACCGGTCCCGACAATCCACAGAACCACGCGCCTTGCGAAGACGCAGGTTACCGCCATGGACGATCTCGAGAACCTCGAATTTCTATCGCTCGTTTCCAAGGTCACGTCGGAAATACAGAACCACGTTGGTGTCTCCGACAAGACACTTGCCGAGTTCGTCATCGACCAACATGCCGACTGCAAAGATGTTGCCGACTTCAAGAAACAGCTCGAGGATGTTGGCGCCGAGTTTCCACAGAGCTTGGTCGAGAGCATCGATCGCCTGATTCTTACTCTGCATCCCAAATACAAGAACAAAGGCGCAGGCGGGAAGCAGGGAAGCGCAAATGCAGAAGACGACGGAGATGCAACAAGTCGCAAGACACGTGTCTTCAAAGGGTTGGCCATTCCAGACAAGGAGGTGGAATATGATGTGGCAGATGAGGAGCCGGCAAATGATGCGCCGCAGGCCGATGCGCTGGATGACACGTTTGCCATGCTGGAGGGACTGGCAGGGAAGGCACCAGGCAAGCCCAAGGAGCGGTCGCGCAAGAGGAGCATGAGTCCATACGACAGCGACGACGACGCCAGTAGGAGCAAACGACACAGGCGGAGGGATGCATCGTGCTCTCGCTCGCCATCAAGGAGTCCACGACGGGGGCGGCAACGGGAGCAGAACGACGAGTTGGTTTTTGAAGACGAATTTGGCCGTACAAGAACTGTCAAGCCCAGCAATAAACAACGAAGCCGCAAGAAGTATCGCGACGAAGATATTGAAGAGTTCCGACGGCCGCCCACTCCCGAGCTCGACGACGAGCCAGTGCTGTACAAGATTTACGACGGCAAGGTCACGGGTGTCAAGGACTTTGGCTGCTTTGTCAATCTACAAGGTGTGAAAGGCAAGGTTGATGGACTGGTCCATGTTACCCAGATGATGGAGGGGCGAGTCAACCATCCATCAGATCTTGTGTCGAGATGGCAGGAGGTCAAGGTTAAAGTTATCAAGACCGAAAACGGCAGGATATCGCTCTCGATGAAAGAGGTGGACCAGAGGACAGGCCGTGATCTCGCACCGGAAAAGCGTATAGCATCATTTGGGACCGGCGCGAACTCGCAAGGTCTCGGTGGTATTCCAGGAGTTGATAGCTCTGTGCCAGTTGTTGAGGATGGCTACAACAGCCGTAGAAACGGCATGCGGAAACGTATGACTTCGCCAGAGCGATGGGAGATCAAACAACTCATCGCCTCTGGCGTAATCCCCAAATCTGACTACCCCGATATTGACGAGGACTTCAACGCGCATATCAACGGAGAGGGCGGTTTCGAAGAAGAAGAGGATGTTGATATTGAAGTCCGTGAAGAGGAACCACCCTTCTTGGCTGGTCAGACCAAGCAATCACTGGAGCTTTCGCCAATCCGCGTTGTTAAAGCACCTGATGGCTCGCTCAACCGTGCTGCAATGGCCGGAGACACACTAGCCAAGGAACGTCGTGACCTCAAACAACAAGAAGCACAGGAGAAGGCGGCAAAAGAAGCGGCAAACGTGGACTTGAGCAGTCAGTGGAACGATCCTATGGCTCAGCAACGGCAGTTTGCAAGCGATCTCCGCAACACACGAACGAACGAACCCAGTCAAGCATTACCAGAATGGAAAAAGATCTCCACAAATAGCAGGGAAACCTCTTTTGGCAAGCGTACCAATATGAGCATCAAAGAACAGCGGGAGTCGCTGCCTGTCTTCAAATTCAGGAAACAACTGCTTGAGGCCGTTGCAGCCCATCAAATCTTGATTGTAGTTGGTGATACTGGATCTGGAAAAACAACACAGATGACACAGTATTTGGCTGAGGCCGGCTATGCTAATGAGCTTGTTATTGGTTGCACTCAGCCCAGGCGTGTAGCAGCTATGAGCGTCGCCAAACGTGTTGCTGAGGAAGTTGGTTGTACTCTAGGGAACGAGGTTGGTTACACGATTCGATTCGAAGACAAGACTTCACCGGATACGCGTATCAAGTACATGACGGACGGTATCCTGCAGCGTGAGATTCTCTTGGACCCCATGCTGTCCAAGTATAGCTGTATCATGCTCGATGAGGCCCACGAACGTACGATTGCCACAGACGTCCTGTTTGGGTTACTGAAAAAGACGCTCAAGCGGCGACCTGACATGAAGCTCATCGTTACTAGTGCCACCCTGGATGCCGACAAATTCTCGGAGTACTTTTACAAGTGTCCCATCTTTTCAATCCCAGGTCGCACGTTCCCTGTCGAGGTCATGTACAGCCGGGAGCCCGAGTCTGATTACCTTGACGCAGCATTGGTTACGGTCATGCAAATCCATTTGACAGAACCAGCAGGTGATATCTTGCTCTTCTTGACAGGAAAGGAAGAAATTGATTCTTCTTGTGAGATTCTGTCTGAGCGTATGAAGGCCTTGGGGCCGAACGTACCAGAGTTGATGATTCTACCCATCTATGGTGCCCTGCCATCTGAAGTGGCGTCTCGCATCTTTGAGCCTGCGCCCGCAGGCAGTCGAAAATGTGTTATTGCTACTAATATTGCTGAGACCAGTTTGACTATTGACGGTATCTACTACGTTGTAGACCCAGGTTTTGTCAAGCAAAGTTCTTATGACGGAAAGCTAGGCATGGACCGTTTGCAGATTACGCCTATTTCCCAAGCCCAGGCTCGTCAAAGAAGTGGCAGAGCAGGAAGAACCGGACCAGGAAAATGTTTCCGCCTGTACACCGAAGCAGCATTTCAGAACGAGATGCTGCCGACAACTATTCCAGAGATCCAACGTCAGAACTTGTCAAACACAATTCTCATGTTGAAGGCTATGGGCATTAATGATCTGTTGCATTTTGATTTCATGGACCCACCACCCACCAACACCATGTTGACAGCTCTGGAAGAGCTGTATCAGCTGGGCGCATTAGACGATGAAGGGCTGCTCACGCGTCTTGGTCGGCAAATGGCGGATTTCCCCATGGACCCTTCTCTCTCCAAGTCACTGATCAAGTCAGTCGAGCTCCAGTGCTCAGACGAGATTCTTACAATCGTGGCTATGATCAGCGCCACTCAGAACGTTTTTCATCGTCCACGAGACAAGCAGCAGCAAGCAGACCAGAAGAAGCAGAAGTTCAACGATCCATCTGGCGACCACATTACCCTTCTCAACGTCTACAATGGCTGGAAACAGGGCGGCTTCAGTACACCATGGTGCCACGAGAACTTTGTCATGCCCAAGAACATGCAACGCGTACGCGACGTACGTAATCAGTTGCTGCAAATCATGGCACGACACAAGCATCAGGTTGTGTCTTGTGGTCGGAATACCATCAAGGTTCGACAAGCACTCTGCTCGGGTTTCTTCCGCAATTCAGCGCGCAAGGATCCTGCTGAGGGCTACAAGACGCTTGTCGAGGGTACACCTGTGTACCTGCACCCTTCTTCATCGCTCTTTGGCAAGCCCGCCGAGCATGTCATATATCATTCGCTTGTCGAGACTACCAAAGAGTACATGCACTTCTGCAGTGCCATTGAACCGAAGTGGCTAGTGGAAGCTGCACCTACGTTCTTCAAGGTTGCGCCGACGGATCGCTTGAGTAAGAGGAAGAAGGCGGAAAGGATACAGCCGCTACATAACAAGTTTGCAGGCGAAGACGATTGGAGGCTGAGTGCTCAGCGAAGGGCAGGAAGAGGCGGCGGTGGTACGTGGGGCTGATTCTATGCAAGTTTGGCGAAAAAGTTGCTTCTTAGCATATATGTGATACCTTTTGAATATAATATACAGCTGGTTCTGGCTGACTACTGCTTATGTAAGAACATATGTAACAGGCCGTGATGTTGGTAGTTGAGTTTAGAGTGATGAGGATCTTTGTCTGGTCAACATAGTGGTGGAGCACGGACCTACACTTACTTCCTCATCCGGACAGCGCGACCGCGTTTTCGCGTGTTTACAGCGCCCCCGCAAAAGTCCTAGGGCTCCTGCTAGAGTGAACAGCATCCCATACCACCGTAACTATACGCAAAAATCATGTCATCTCTTCTGGATCTCGCGCTCAATTCGGACGCTGCGCCCACTCCCTCGAGCGCCTTCGGTAACGATGCACGAACACCACTGATGCGATCCTCGTCGGCCAGACCCCGCGGACCGCCCTCTGAAAGCGCTGGCGCCAACAGTGATGTTGAAGGAGACCCGGACGATGAGATCATCGGGGTACGAGTACCAGGCAGGCGTACCAATGCTCCACGGACAGATATTCCAAAAGTGGTCGATGTTACGGGAGAGACACTTTCGCTGCGCTTCCAGGAGTTCCTGGAGAAGTGAGCTTCACGATGCACAATGGACAATGCAAGCTGGCTAACCATAAGAACAGCTATACAGAAGACCCCTCCTCCTCAGCACTTCCAACATCGAGTGCGGTGCCTACTACAGACAAATACTATATTGCCCAAATACGTGGTATGAGGCTGTACGGCCTTTCTACCCTCTATGTCGACTACACGCACCTTCTCAGGCACGAAGATGGTATCCTCGCAGCTGCCATTGCAAGCGAGTACTATCGTTTCCTGCCCTACATGGTTCGATCGCTCCACAACCTTATCGCAAAGTACGAACCCAAGTACTTCCGCCAGCACAAACAGCCCGCCTCCACAGC